GAGGCATGAGGCGTGGGCGGGGGTCAGAGCCGGTGATGGGGGGCGAGGGGGGCCCCCTGCCCAGGCCTGAATCCTGGGCCAGAGGCATCAGGCCTAGGCTGGGAGCAGAACCAGTGATGAGGGGAAATGAGGGTCCCCTGCCCAAGCCTGACACCTCTGGCAGAGGGGTCAGGCCTGGGCAAGGGGCCGATCCTGCGATTGGAGATTGATGGGGGTCAATGCCTGAGGGCTCCCAGTATGTGAGAGGGGGCAGGCTGGGCTGAGGGACACTCCCCCTCACCCCCACCCAGTGCACGAATTTCGTGCACCGGGCCCCTAGTAAAAAATAAATATCAAAAATATAAATCTTTGTTTTATATGGTTGCAAAGATCAAAAAATTTCTATATGTGACACGGCAGCAGAGTTAAGTTAGGGTTTTTCAAAATGCTGACACGCCGAGCTCAAAAGGCTCGCCATCACTGGCTTAGATCATCAGCAAGTTCTGTGTCCCCATGAGTTAAAGCCCTCAGGGGGCATTCCATAGACTGGACGGGAACAAACTAGTTGTTCCAAAGCTGATGTAGTAATTTAGTCTGAGTAACACAGGAAGGCTTGTAAGAAAACCTTCAGGCACCGACTTTTCCCTCTAGAGCAGTGGTTCTCAACCTTCCTAATGCTGCTACCCTTTAATACAGTTCCTCATGTTGTGGTGACCCCCAACCATAACATTATTTTTGTTGCTACTTCATAACTGTAATTTTGCTACTGTTATGAATCATCATGTAAATATCTGATATGCAGGATGTATTTTCATGGTTACAAATTGAACATAATTAAAGCATAGTGATTCATCACTAAAACAATATGTAATTATATATGTGTTTTCCGATGGTCTTAGGCAATCTCTGTAAAAGAGTCGTTCGATCCCCAAAGGGGTCGCGGCCCACAGGTTGAGAACCGCTGCTCTAGAGTATTAAACACCCAAAACACGCCCTCCTTAGCCCCTTGCATCTGCCCTTACCTGTCCACTCTTACTCCTCCAGGACCAAGGACCCCCAGCCCAGAATCCTGTAAAGCTCCCGGGAATTTAGGCTCCACGCCTCCATCATTTCCAAACGCAGAACGGTCTGATGGCTATAATACGAGACACTGACAAACCCCAGGACTGGTCGGTTCCGTGTTGCTGACAGGAGACCTGCAGCCAAAAACCTGGCTCTTCTGTTAACTACGTGACCCACAGTGAGTGGTTTGGCCTTTTTCAGGCCTTAGGTTTTCAACATGTGAAAAAAGAAGTCTGTCATCGGGAGAGAAAATGAGACATCTGGAGAAATATTATCCAGAGGTCCTTGGAAAAAAAGACACTTGCAACAATACTGTAGGGATGTTACACTTTATGGTTTAACAACAAAGTGCTTGCGTGCGTGCCGGCGTGTGTGCGTGCGTGCAAGCTCTCACGACCACCTTGTGAGGTAGGGAAGGTAGGGCCTGACCAAAGGCAGAAGTCTGGCCAAGGTGAACTGTCAGGGCCAGGACTCAAACTGCTCACCTTCTCAGCGAAGTCAGCGTTCTTGCCAACACTGCCTTTCCCTCAGTGCGTTCCAATTAAATACAGGACTGGACCAGTGTGTCAAATGAATGACCCTGAGAAGGTCAGAGGGTTGCAGTAACTTAAAACTAAAAGGCAAAGGAGCCAGCGGATTTGAAGACAGGAGCCGTTTCCTGCAGCTGGATGCCGGGAAGGGTCCCTGTAGCGTTGCCCAGTCGTCTCAGGAATCTTGTTTCCACAACGTGACAGTGCTCTTCCAGGTCCCTCTGGCTGGCTTGTCCCGGGATCTTTCTGTGCCTCGGATGGCAGGCACTGCTGCTGTACTGAGAGCTTCAGAAATTCTTTCGGCCTCTTAGTCACAAAACCGCAAACATCCTCTAAGACTAATTCTGCCTCGTCATGTCAATGAGACATCTGGTGACTAATGCCTGCACAGCACGGGCTTGGGAGAGTGTTTTCTGTTTTATGAAATCTGGGCGCTCACACCCCAAATCTAATGCCAACCTAATGGCTTGCAAGTCCTCGGCTTGCAGGGCTGCCCTAATAAATGCCTTCCTGTGTAATAAGGCTGATATACACAGCCAGCTTGGCATGGAGTGTCTTTTAAGGGGCAGGCACAATATTGAGGGCTTTATATAAGATCTCAAGTATTCATCATTTTAATGCTAACGTGACCATTTTGTTACTAGGAGCCTATTTTGTGCCAGGCACTGTACTAGGTGGCTTACAGGAGACCTTTAGGTCACATTTATTTCACTTCTCTTATAGTAACCAGGCATCAACCCTTCAATTTATATTTCCCTAAGAATCCATCAAAAACATTGAAGGAACAAAAAAAAACATTGAAGGAGTGCCTTTTGTGTTCAAACATTGTTTGGAGCCTATAGGTTTATCCTTACCATTAAAACATGAAGAAAAAAAAAAACATGGAAAAAAAAAATAAGAGAGGGAACAGATTAGGGCCTAACTTGAACCACCAGTGCCCAGGTTCCTAGTTGGAGTACTTGAAGATCGTTTTCTCTATTGGGGTACTTAAAGATTAAAATTTGGCCCTAGCCAGTTTGGCTCAGTGGATAGAACGTCCACCTGTGGACTGAAGGGTCCCAGGTTTGATCTGGTCAAGGGCGCATGCCTGGGTTGCAGGCTCGATCCCCATTAGGGGGCGTGCAGGAGGCAGCCGATCAATGATTCTCTCATCATTGATGTTTCTTTCTTTCTCTCTGTCTTTCTCTCTCTCTCTTTCTCTCTGAAGTCAATAGGAATATATATATATATTTTAAATTTTTGGAAGGGAGCAGCAAAACCACTAAAGATTATTTCCTAAATCAAATGAGTGTTTTGATGGCATAAAAGGTGTGCTTTCTGACGGAAACTCTTGTCACATTTACTACAGTGGAAAGGTTTTTCTCCTGTGTGCGTTCTCTGGTGTGTCAGGAAGTGGGAACGCTGGTTGAAGGTTTTGCCACACTCGGGGCACGGATACGGCCTCTCTCCTAAGTGGATCCGCTGATGGGTCACGAAGTGGGAGCTCTGATTGAAGCTCTTCCCGCACTCGCCACACCTGTAGGGTCTCTCTCCCGTGTGGATCCGCTGGTGCTTAACGAGGGCAGAGCTGTCGGCGAACCCTTTGCCACAGTTGTCACACTTAAAAGGCCGCTCGCCAGTGTGCGTCCTCTGGTGCGTGACCAGATGGGAGCTCTGGCTGAAACTCTTGGGGCAGGAGGGGCAGCTGAATGGCCTTTCTCCCGAGTGCGTGCTCATGTGCGCGATGAAATGGGAACTGTCCGTGAAGCCCTTCCCGCACTCGGGGCATTTAAAGGGCCGCTCCCCGGTGTGGGTTCGCTGGTGCTTGATCAGATCCGAGCTTTGGCTGAAACTCTCCCCGCAGTCATCACACCGGTAAGGCTTCACCCCTGTGTGCGTCCTCTGGTGGGTGATGAAATTGGAGCTTCGACTGAAGCTTTTGTGACATTTGAGGCACGTGTAGGGCTTCTCTCCGGTGTGGGTTCTTTGGTGCATGATGAGGTGTGGCTTCCGCCCAAAAGTCTTCCCACACTCTGGGCACTCATAGGGCCTCTCGCCTGTGTGGGTCCTCTGATGTTTGAGGAGTGTTGAGCTGTCGCCGAATTTTTTCTCACACCCACTGCACTGGTAGGGTTTCTCTCCAGTGTGTGTTCTGCGATGGGTGACGAGGTCTGAACTCTGCTTGAAGCCTTTCCCACACTCGGTGCATTTATAAGGCCTCTCGCCGGTGTGGGTTCTCAGGTGTCTAATGAGATAGGAGCTCTGGTTAAAGGTTTTCCCACATTCTGCACACACAGGCTTCTTTCCTGCATATCCCTCCAGGAGCTTGTTTAAATCCTTGTCCCGATGGCCCTTCCCTGGAAGGGTTTCAGGTTCTAATTCAAGGCCCCTCTCCCAGCTTCCTCCCCAGCTAGGAGTCTGATAAACATCTTTATTCGCCCCTTCTGAGGATGTTCCGCGTTGTCCTCCTGTTTCAGAAACATCCTGATGGAGTTTTTCCAGCTGATTCTCCAAGTCTGAAAAAGTAACAGAAGTGACTGAGAATAAAGTTGTCAGGGACGTACATCAGAAGGCAGCAAGAAAGATTAAAATTAGTGTTTTTGCAACAGACTATACTTAATTTGACTACTTTGGTTTTCACTCTGTGAAAAGTTTATTGATGTTCATTGAGCTCACAGAAAACATGAATTCCTAAACCATTTTTATTTTAAGACTGGAGGCCCGGTGCACAAAATTCATGCGGGGGAGGCGGGGGGGTGTCCCTCAGCCCAGCCTGCACCCTTTCCAATCTGGGACCCCTTGAGGGATGTCCGACTGCCCGTTTAGGCCTGATCCCAGTAGACTGCTGGCTCTCAACTGCTCATCTGCCCGCCTGCCTGATCACCCCCTAACCACTCCCCTGCCTAACTGCTCCCTTACCAGCCCAATTGCCCCTAACTGCCCTCCCCTGCCAGCCTGGTTGCCCCTAACTGTCTTCCCCTGCAGGCCTGGTAGCCCCCAACTGCCCTCCCCTGATGGCCCGGTCACCCCTAACTGCCCTCCCTTGATGGTCTGGTCGCCTCCAACTGCCCTCCCCTGCTGGCCCAGTCACCCCTAACTGCCCTCCCTTGACGGTCTGGTCGCCTCCAACTGTCCTCCCCTGCTGGCCATCTTGTGATGGCCATCTTGTGTGTTGGAGTGATGGTCAATTTGCATATTACCTCTTCATTATATAGGATGACCAGATAAATCTTGAGATGACCTTTACATCCTTCAAGAGTAAGCCACATGTTGTCAAAATTAGGCACCTCCTTTCAAAGATGTCACAGTGGAAACGAAAGTGACATGCTTACTTAAAAAGAGACTTTATTTGGTCAATTCGTGACTGCCCAAGAACGCAAATTTAAACTTCTGATGGAAAGAACAAAACTCCAGGGCAGCATTTCACATTCTTCTCCCACCAAGTAACACTCACATCTCACCTGGGTGACTTTCCTTTAGGATCTCCCTTGCCTCAAAATGTTGGAGTGGTAGGAGCCATGGCTTGTCTTTCTGTTCCAGCTGGGAGATGACACTTGGTCTAGAAATCCTACACAGGAAGATGAACAGAAGATGTTGATCTGAGCCAATCACACGAGGCCTGGCCAAAATGTACGCCCTCCTCCTTCCCTAGGTAGAAGGGGACATCCAGAGAAACGCTCATGTGTGTTTTGTCTCATTAAAAGGGCAGCCACGGTAAAGTGATAAAAGAGGGTGATCTCCCCAAGAGGCTGAGGAAAAGCCCTTTTCCTCCCATTAAAAAACAAACACACAAAAACCAGCAGACTCTCAGAGGGAGGGCGGGGGAGGATGTGTGGGTGGGGGGTAATCAACCAAAGACTGTGCATGCATATATGCATAACCCATGGATGCAGACAGTGGGGTGGTGAGGGCCTGGAGTGGGGGGTGAGGGGGCTGATGGGGGTGGATGAAGGATAAAAGGGGACATATGTAATACTTTCAACAATAAATTTTTTTTTAAAAAATCAGACATAGGTCATTGAAACTCTAGGGTAAATACAATAACTCATCTCTGAAGGCACAAGGCTAAACCCCTGTGGAAAGATAATTTCATCTTTAACAAAGCCGCCATGACCTCACCCTTAGAGAGAATCAAGGAAGTTAACTATTATATTGGCCTTTAAATTTTTCCCAGAAGGACAGTAATAGATACAGCTATGAGAAAAAGACAAATACTTGTAAGAAAAAAATAATGAACATAGGCAATTCACAAAAGAAAGAAAACTAGCCTATAAATATATGGAAAATCTTACACTTACTATTAACCAAAGAAATTTAAATTAAAACGATTGTCCGGCCTCTGTGGCTCAGTGGTTGAGCATCGACCCATGAAACAAGAGGTCACTGGTTGGATTCCCAGTCAGGGCACATGCCCAGGTTTTGGGCTTGATCCCCAGTAGGGCGTGTGCAGGAGGCAGCCAATTGATGATGTTTCTCTCTCATCGATGTTGCTATCTCTGTGTCCCTCTCCCTTCCTCTCTCTAAAACCAATTTTTAAAAAAACATATTTAAAAAAATTAAAACAATGATACACTTAGGCAATAAGTGTAGAGGTGAAGAGTGCAAACTCAAGAGTCATATTGCCTGAGTTTGAATGCTAACCCTGTCTCTTACTAGCTGTGTGACCTCAGGAAAGTTACTTCAACTCTCTGTGCCGATGTCTTTATCTATAAATTAAGGATAATGATAAGGTCTACTTTATAGAGTTATAAGGATTAAGTGGTAAGTCCTCAATAAATGTTACCTATCACTATTAATTAACCCACACTGCTAAAATATAATATCTACCATGATGGTAGACTATGAAGAAATGGAATAAATAAATTGATTTAATCTTTTTAGAAGGCATTTGGCAAAAATATCAAATACCCAAGAAATGTACCTATTTTTGGACCCAGCAATTCCAATTCTGGGAATTGTAAGAAAATGAAAAAATAAAAGTTGTGCAAAAGACATATTAGCTATTTATTAACTAATTATACTTCAATAAAGAAGACAGAAAAAAAAAGACAATTATCTAAGAGTTGTTTATCACCATACTGGTGAGAATCTGGAAAGGACATAAATCAATTAAATGTCCCACAACAAAGGCATACGAAAAGCATATTGGAGCCATACGAAACTGCCATTTATTTTTTTTAAATACGTTTTTATTGATTTTTAGAGAGATGAAGGGAGAGCGATAGATGGAAACATCGATGAGAGAGAAACATCATCCACCAGCTGCCTCCTGCACGCCCCCGAATGGGGATTGTTAGAGTCTCCAAGGAGGAACGCAGGAGCCAAAAGGAATAAAGAATGAACTTATTCGGCCACCTGGAAAACCAGACAGGCTGGGCCCCAACATGGTGCCAGCCCCCAGGGACAGGGAGTCAGAGATTTTAAAGGACTAGAGTCTCCAAGGAGGAGCGCAGGAGGCCAAAGGGAATAAAGAATGAACTTATAGCCGAAACTGGTTTGGCTCAGTGGATAGAGCGTTGGCTTGCAGACTGAAGGGTCCCAGGTTAGATTCCGGTCAAGGGCATGTACTTGGGTTGCGGGCACATCCCCAGTGGGAGATGTGCAGCAGGCGGCTGATCAATGTTTCTCTCCCATCGATGTTTCTAACTATCTAACTTAGCAAGTAGAATGTGGTCTTAGAAGGTGGAATGTGGTCTAAGCGAAGGGGAATGTCGGTGGTAAAGTGGTCTAAAGGTCAATTCCCAGCCCTAGCTTGTTTGAGTCAGTAGATGGAGCGTCGGCCTGCGGACTGAAGGTCCAGGGTTCAGTTCCAGTCAGAGAAATGTCCCTGAAATGCCTGGGTTGCGGGCTCAATCCCCAGGAGGGAGTGTGCAGGAGGTGGCCAATTGATGATTCCCTCTCATTATCGATGTTTCTATCTCTCTCTCCCTCTCCCTTCCTCTCTGAAATCAATGAAAATA